CCATGCAATCTCAGCTGCTTCCTTACCTAAGGACTGGAACACCATCCCAAAGGAAAGAAGGGATTTCAGACTGTAAGCTATGTCAACTCTAAATCTTTTCATTAAGAAAGGCTTTTTTGTTATTGTTTTACTTTCTGTATTCTATTATATTCTGATTCTGGCTGGAGTGCTTACTATCACAGGTGTATTCTATCCCTATTTACAACTACAAGGTTTTAGGTGGGGACTTCTTGTAGTCTTGAAATAGTACTGTTCACAATGACATTGATTCACATGAAATAGAAATTCTTTTTGCTTTTAACCCATGTTTTTTTTTTGTTTTGGGAAATATATTATTGTGAGAGGTAAACACCTATAAGTACTGTAGTAAGAAGGAAATAACTGTCAATCAGACGAGAGTTGTGTAATTAATAAGTAACGGTTTAAACAGGGGGGTGATTATTTCTACATGTTAACTTCCTATTAAAGTTCTTAGTTAAAAAAAATTGATTTATAATATTGAAATCTGAAACGAAGAGACCTTTCTCTCCTGCTGTCCTAATCAAAGAAATGTGCATTGCTGTTCCTTAGCCTCAAAGCTTATAAAAGCCACAAAAGAGACTAAGAGCTCCTCCTTGTGAGATTCTGAGATACTGCATCTCTCAATAGGTTTTACAGTCATGCAAATAATTTGTTGCAGCACAATGAGTCAATATCATTCACATTCTCAATAAATTATTTTGTTAATCAGAATATTTTACCCAAGAATTAAACAACATAATTGAATTTACAAGTGCAGGTGAATATGATAGGCTATGATCGTGTTACGATAAAAATATTCTCCTAATGAGCAGCTGTTGTTTTTGTAAAATATTCTGGTAGATTTTTATACAGTAGAACCCTGTAACCCTTATCCTGAAGAGCAACAGGGCATTTTTATTTATATTCTAACCATGGTACTCTATTAATTAACAAATAGAGAACCTAACCTTGGCTTAATTAGTCAAAATTAATCAATCACTAATTCAAGGAAGGCCTTATACTAAAAGAATAGGGGTTATCTAAGATATAATTGATATTATTTAAATGATAGATACTTTTTTAGTAACTTCAGATTTATTATGATGAGAGATATTCTGTCTCCGTTTACGATGCAGAAAGACACGTGCCACACAAACACACTCACATGTGCTCACTTCTACACACACGCTCATAATTACCCACGAAAACAGTTCATGTGGTATTTAGGAACACGATGGGAAAATTGAAAGGGTAAAATGTGCACTTCATAAAGTCATGGCCTTTTAAAACCCCTAAAATAATAAATAATTTTCAGGCTATGCTGGTGAATTAAAAGAGCATATTGTGTGTGAGTGAGTGTTTGTAATGCAAACCATTCTGCTCCCTCCTGATAACTTGCCCTAGAGTCCCTCTAACTAAATAGCTTTCTGGTAAAATCCTGATCTTCCCCATAATATGCCATCATCATGCGTGGAAAAATGTTCCCAAGTTCTAGCAAGCAGTGCCGTGAGGACCTGGGGAGAGCCAAATAAAAGCCTGAGAAATTGGTTTCTGTCTTCCTAATAGAAGAGGGATCAAATCTGAATGACTAAAGCCCCCTCATAAAGTGGTGGGGGTATTGAAGCAGATACTGTATCCTGCACTGATGCATACAGTAAAAACAAAAATGACAGCATTTGAATGGAGTGTTTTATTTACCATAGGTGAACAGGTACATTCATGCTAAGATTATTAACAGCAGGAGCATGTAGCTCTCTAAATAAAATGCAGCCCAGCTTTTTTTTTTGCTCTTCTCTTTAAGGATCAGAGAAACATGTGCCTTTGGGTATTGCCTCAAAGTGCTTCATGCCTATATATGCCTTAAAAAAAGTGGATGTTTATGTAATAATTGACAGGTCTTTTACTTTGAATGTACAAGGAATTGGAGTAAATATACCACCAGAGCAGCCCCACCTTCCTTCACTTGATTTAATTTTTTTACAGAATAAAATCCTTTGCTGAAAGGAATTGTGTCGCCATTCAGCAATGTTAACTGAATTGCACCGAATTAAATTTAGTTGCTATGCACCTGATGCCTGTTATGTACAATGTACAAGGCCTTGCATTCGTCTGCAGAATAACACATCTTCCTTCTAGAATGTTCTAGTTTGACACCCAAATTTGAAGCTCATTATCACCCTTTGTTGTTTCCCTTTTTTATATTTTCTCTAGCAAATTGATGGCTGCTCATTTAGAGTGGATCTGGGAGTCTATTCAGTCACTGCTTTCTTTCTGAGCAGTAGTATTAATGTCACTCAAGTGAAAAAAAGTAGAACACACAAGTTGGGTGACAACAAAGGGAACTAGCGGGCAAATTAAAATTCTTTTCCGTCTCTTGTCTGTTTGCACATTCATAACCTATCCTCTCTTCTGTAGAAATCAGAAAGGATGGGATTTGCAATTAAATGTGCAGTATGTTTTTGAATACCAATGTGCATCCATTACACATGTACTCTTACAATGCTGTTCAATGGATCTTGAGGTCTAAGTTGTACCTGCATCAAAACCAGCATTTACTTTTACAACGCATCAGTTAAAGTCTGAGAGATGTGAGACTTTATGATAATGTATTTAGTATTTATTTGATGCTATTAACATATTCGGTGACTTACAGTTTGTTATTGAGTCCCTCATACATATTTTCAGCTAGAATAAAAGCATTAAGTATTTTAATATACTGCACACTATACTGTATACTGAATATAAAAAGCAACACATTTTAGTTAGAACCAACAGCATTTGTTTAATTTTTAATGTCTCATAGTATACATAGGTCAATGTCCAAGCATACACATTTATTGTCTTCACCACACTGTTAAGCAGATAAATTGATTTAGGCTTTCAATTGCAAATTACAAGGAAGTGCATACAAATATTACTATTAATACACCAGTATGGGACCAACTGTGAGTAATCAATTTCCCTTAATTAGAAATAGCTGTATGTATAATTCATTGAAACACGATAAAATGGTGATTGAAGCACAATTTAAAATGGTGCCAAGATGACCATTGCTTTCTGACTTTCTTTTCTGTAGGGTTTGCACATGTTTATAATATAATGCAAATAAATAGCATAGCCTTGAAAATTTCCCTTACACTTATATTACAGTATGTGGGTGAATGAGGGAGAGATCAGGAATATGTGATAAGGAAAACAAAATAAAGTGAATGTGAGAATGGGTAAGGTGACATGAGAAAGGGGCCAAAGAGACAAATTATAGGGGTTGTGTGGAAACCAAAATCTGTGAATAAATGAAAAAACAATTTTGCTTTACTAACAAATTAGTTGATAATTGAGGACATGGGGAAGGTGTGAACCTAGTTAAAGGATACATTTAGCTTCTGATGTCTTTCTGGAATAGGAGTTGTTTGATCCATGTGCAAGGACATGGCTGGGGCAGGTAAAATGAGGAACTATCATCTTGGAAAGATCTTTGATCATCTCTGACTTGACATCTCTGAAATGGCTGGTCAGTATTTTTCCCATTTCACCAATGTAAATGGCAGGGCACTTTCAGTGAGAGCTGCAATAAATGAGATGACCGGACAGACCTTAATTCAAGAGCTATTCGATATACTGTACATAAAACAGCATGTTAGAATTATACTGTATCTGTCACGGATGTCGGAAAGGACGAACCGTGGAATGACAGGAGAGCGTAAAAGACCCTATGCGTAGTGGCGAGACAGGGGTTAGCCCGGGCTCAGCTGTTCAGGGAATGCCATATAGAAGCCTATGCCCTCAGGTAGTGGACGTGGGGTGACCTGGTGCTAGGCGGGTCTCAGGACATCCGAACGTCAGTGCTGAGCCAAGGCAGACTGAAAGACCCGGAAATATATAGTCCCAGAGAGAGAGAAACACCAGAAGGACAGCAAAGATCTGGAAATGAGAGAAAGGACAGAGAAGGAGCGCCCTCTGGCTGCAGAGGGCGTGACCGTATCAATGTATTTGCAATTCATATTTGAATACAATCATTTTTAATCCCCAGGTTTCAACTCCAAGTATTTAAAACAAAACACTAAAGGGTAAAGATACTGGAGAATTGATTCTTTTAGAAGAAATGGGTCTTCGAAATAGTGTTCCAGTAAATGTCTAGAATCTTTACAACAAGTCATTCCTGTTTACACTGCTGATCGGGAAGCTATAATGAAATGTTTTGATCTATGACGACCGAATGATGTACAAAAAGGAGGGTTGTAGACTTGCCACCTAGACTTTTTCTAAGTACAAACCTTTCTGTCTCAGGGGTTGAAGAGATGCAGGGAAACTAACAAAAGAAAAAATATGCGTAACCTTGGGTTTGGTTTGAATTTTACTCTGCTTGGAATGGGATGGGTAAAACCTGTTCGCACTGTAACTCTGAATGCATTTAATCTTTTAAATAAGACAGGAGCACCACAAAGGGAGCTAGTGATTGTGAATCCAGTCATATAGCCATGAACTTAGCCCTGTACACTGTATTACACAGTGGCTCCTTTTGAGAGCTAGGGTCTCTGGTGGTAAAACTCTGGCAGTAATTGGGCACTTCCACTACATTACTGATATACTCAGCACTGGTTTTTGCTAAGTGTTTACCTGAGTTAGAACGATAATATCCAACTATTGATCTTATTGTTTTTTATTTGTTAAAAATTAACACCTTAACACATTGTTTAAAAAGCACATGCTCTGAAAGGATTTATAAACACAAGCAATATGGAATAGAAAGTTTTAGTTGTACCAGGCTAAAATAGTGTTATTCTTCTCTTGCCTCTGTGAAAAACATATAGCTGATGCTTTCTTAAGGGTTATATATAGATTCAAAATTCCAGGGCTGGATTTTCAGCATGTGTCATGATTCAGACCCACAGCTTTGCTCCCCTGGAGGACTTTGCACACTACACTGTTAATCAGGCAGATCAGTGTTAGAGCGGTATTCCTAATCTCTGTGTTTTCTCCCTGTGATTCTCTTTTGACAGGCTGCTTGGGGCAGAGTGATGTTGCAGAACTATTGCCGCTTCCAGATCAGGCTTCCACAGTGGTGATGAGACTCACTGAGGCTTTGGAGAGACAGGGTAGGGAATAACTTTCTCTCCCAAGCTTTATTTACCGCAAGAAGTAATAATAATAATAATAATAATAATAATAATAATAATTTTACACTTCTATAGTGTTTTTCTGGACACTCCACTCAAAGAGCTTTGCAAGTAATGGGGACTCCACTCCACCACCACCAATGTGCAGCATCCACCTGGATGATGCGATGGCAGCCATAGTGCTCCAGAACACTCCCCACACATCAGCTATCAGTGGAGAGGAGCGCAGAGTAATGAAGCCAATTCATAGATGGGGATTATTAGGAGGCCATGATTGATAAGGGCCAATGGGAAATTTGGCCAGGATGCCAGGGTTATACCCCTACTCTTTTCGAGAAATGACCTGGGATTTTTAATGACCACAGAGAGTCAGGACCTCGGTTTTATGTCTCATCCGAAGGACGGTGCCTGTTAACAGCATAGTGTCCCCATCACTATACTGGGGCATTTGGACCCACATGGACCGCAGGGTGAGCGCCCCCTGCTGGCCCCACTAACACCTCTTCCAGCAGCAACCTTAGTTTTTCCCAGGAGGTTTCCCATCCAGGTACTGACCAGGCTCACACCTGTTAGCTTCAGTGGGTTGCCAGTGACACATTAAAATCCATTTACTGTACATAGTCAGACAGACCAAACCCTACACTAAGATCAGTTTATTTCAGCTGTGACCTGATTCCAATTGTGTTATCATTAAATAATCAAGACATTCCACAGAATTGTTACATTACCTGCCTCATACTAACTGTGCAACTGATTTTTTACAACCACAATTGACAATATCCAGCACATTCTCTTCGTCATGCTTGCCATTACTACACCTCCTCCCTGCATGCCTGTATTTACTGGTTCTCCTTTTTCTTGTCTTTTTCTACTTGACACTGCATTGCCTTAGTAAATTGGTTGTGCATATGAAACCCACCACCTGTCTACTAGATCCTATTCTGTTTGACTTCAATCCTGTTTTCCAGCCCTCTGCCCTAATATAATTAAGTCCTTGAGCAATGAGTCGTAACAGTGGCCTTTAAAGCAGCTTCAGTTGCACCTCTGTCTAAAAAACCCAAACGTGACTCTGGAAAACCTTTTCTTTCTGGAAAAAAATTTCTTCTGATATATAACTTTTTTTAGAACAGGCTATTGGAATGCAATTTAACTATCACCTCATTAAACCTTAATCTGGTAGCGGATAATTACACAGCACAGAAACTACCCTTGTTAAAGTTGGTAACAATCTTCTTATGACAGCTGATTCTGGTTCTATACCTATCCTAATTCTCCTAGACCTAAATGTTGCTTTTGACACTTAAACATGACATATTACTGTCTTTTCAAAGAGACTGCGTCACTTAAACTACAAAACTGCAACAATACTGAGGTCTTGCTTCTCGGCTCATCCCAGCACCTACGTAAAGCCAGTGCAGTAATCCTATCTGTGAATGGCACTGTGCTTGAATTTCAATCATAATTGAAGAATTTATGGGTGATATTTGATCCTGGGTTGACTTTTGACCCACATGTGTGGAATATTTGAAAAACATCATTCTTCCATCTCAGAAATATCGCTAGACTATGTTTTCTTGACTGTAGTAGAAAAGCTGTTAACATATTTGTCTTTACTGGAAATGGTGACAGCAATGCCCTTCTCATTGGGGTATCTAAATCCATACTGAATAAACTCCAATATGTTCAGAATTCAGCAGACAATATCCTGACCAGGATGCGTGCAAGTGATCACATTACCTTGTCTTCAAGTCCTTGCTTCCATTCAGGATTTGAGTTGATTTCAAAATCCTCATGCTCACCTATAAGGCTCTACACTTGGTGTGGCATCTGTGTACCTATCTGACTTATTATCTGTCTATTCCCCACTTCACAACCTTTGTTCATTTGACTCTGGTCATCTATGCAGTATGTCCCCCAAGCTAGTTTACATTCTATGGGTGACAGGATAGAATTCCAAAGCTCTGGAATTCTATCCTAAGGATAGACTCAAAACCTAGAGTCTATCAAATAGACTAACCCCTAACCCCAAAAAAGATTTTGAGACTCTAGACTCAAAACCTTTCTTTTCAGAAATCTGTTCAGAATGATAATGAGGAAAGAATTAAAACCAAACCATTTTCCTGCCAATCTTTGAATCTGATGAGTTTCTACAGCGTCCATATTGGAAAGCTGTGTAATGAATAAGCAGCTGAAGGAAGTGGATGGAGCTGCAGATATCCAGGAAATGTTATTGATTGTTTTTTGTGTTTTATTTTTAGGGTGGGAAAGCGAGCCCCTCTACAGAGCCCCTCTCAGCCCTCCTAGACACCCGGAGCTCAAACAGGCACTGGAGACAGGTTAGTTTCAATCACAAATACTGGAATACTAGAAACCAATATCCTGATATTTCTCATTGAGTAGACAAGGCCTAAATCACAACTTCAATCCACCTGCCAGTTGAAAATCCCAAACCAAATAATTGACGATGACTGTTTAACAAAGGTAATGTTATTTTTTGCAGTGAAAACCTTTTGTCTGGTATTTGCATTTGCAGGTGTGGGAAAATCTGAATTTATTTCAGGTCCTAATCTCTTTTTTGTACGTAAAAACCCCCACAAAAACAGATTATTTTGATGTATGTTAAAATGGCAAAAACTAATGACTGTTGTATTGTTTGATACTTGTTTTAATTTAAATTTTAGCAAAGATTATTAATTACAGGGAATAACATCCCATAGTTTAGGTAGCTTAAATTTCTGAAGCCTGTAAGTAAGGCTAAGGAAACACATCTGCAGTTTTCTCTGACTTATAAGATTAAACATTCCCAAAACACATTGTCTAACTTATTTCAGTAATATTGTATGAATATTTAATGTCAATATAGACATATTTGTATGTATCCAAGTATACAGTATATATTGTCTGTTGCAATAAAGTGTAATTATTTAGGTAAACGTGCAGAATGATATGAAAAAGATGAAAGTGTAAAAGATAATTGGCACAACAAGTCATTCTCTCAGAGCACAGGTCAAGCATTATACTCCTCACATCGCCAGTTTAGGTCTGGATCTTTTTATTAGCTACAGCAAGTGTGATCCTCAAGGGGTATCGTAAAATTGCATGAGCACCCAGTGGCTGGCTCAGCTTACTGTGTAACTCCTGTAACTGAGCAGTAACAGTAACTGTGCACCAGCAGACTTGCAGTGACATCAGCAAGAGGTGCCCTGCTCCTCCAGTCAGTGCTACCTCTCCTGTCAGGGGCTGTGGACCTTCAGAGTGTGTCAAATGATGAAAGGAAAGCATGCATATCTGAGGAGCTTGTCTCCATGTCTAGGTTTTTCTCTACAAGGAGTAGAGGGGTTGCCGTGGTAAAGTCCGATCATGTATAATTCGGTGGGTATAAGAAATAAACTTCAAGTTTTCAGGGTGCAATTTGTAATGTTATTTTGTATGATCTCTGTTAAGTTTAATTTTAATGATGCACAGGATAAACTCTCCCGAACTGCTTTTAGCTTCATAAGACGGATTTGCTGTAGGTTACATCTTATAAAAGCTGGCAAACCAATTTAACATTTTCAGGTGACATGCTTGTAAACACCACCAGGGAGTGCTCTGGTTCAGCAGTTTGCAGACTTAGTTGTGAGATTTATAGATTTGTAACCGGAATTATTGTTGACACCACTGTCTCTGCAAATCATAGCGTTTTTACACATTTAAATTTCAGTTCAGAAAAGACATTGAATTGATGGATATGTTCATATTTTTTCCATATTTGTTTAACTGCAGCATGGTGGAGTTACACAAACGCACTGGTTCAGGTTTGGCTGACCGTGAGGGGAGGTGGTATTTGCAGTGGTATTCTGAGGGCTATGAGTCATCATCAGACAGCAGTCTACAAGACAGATCCATTCTTTCTAGAATGTACACATTTATCAGTGCTTTACCCAGTGGTTTACATACATAGATCTATAACAGGAATTTCAATCAATATCCGAGGCCACTGAGGCAGATTGAATGTGATACAAATGTGCACTTGTTATTCAGCAAACACACTTCACCCTCATCTAGCAGTGTCCAAGAAAGTACAGCAAGCAGAGATAATAAGATACTGGCAATGTAATGAAGTCAATTCATAAGCAAAATCACCACAGACCAAGTGCAACAGCATTAGGGGGTTGTGGGATGCCCTCTGATCTCTGCTCAGCTCTTGCATTTACCCTTCCACCCATCCTTGGTTAAAATAAGGAAGATTGAAATTGTGCCACCTCCCCCTATCTCCCAGCTCTATCACAATCCATATTTGCGCAGGAACTTTTCAAGTGGCTTGATGACAGTAATTGAACTGTTCCATTCCATCAGAATCTGATAAGATAGCTATGGCCCAGAACTGAAGCTCTTAAACAAGTAAATGACAGTCCCATTAGGAGAGGCAGTGGAGCACATCATCAAAAAGCTATGAATACGTCTCAGGTTATCACAAGTCCTGATTGAGCAATGACATACATGTACAAACAGTCACATAAATAGACTGTGTAGGAAAACACATAATTCAATATCCTTGTGTTACAAATGTACGTTTATATCTGTGGGAAAGCAGAAACTCTCTCTCTCACCTTGCATCGTTTCTTTGCTATGTTTTATGTTAGTATACTGTACCTAAGAACAACCCTACACAGAAAAGTGTATTTGTGAATCCTTATATGTACCTTGTACAATACATAAATCATAGCACAAGACTATTTGACTGGCAGAAAAATGAGAGATTGAAGGATAATTTTAAAATCCTCCAACTTAATCCTGTGGTTCTGGTGATTTTCCCACATTCTGTGATTTGTCATATTATATACAGTAAGTCTTTGTTTCTTCACATTTAAAATTTTCAGAAAGCAAACAGACAAGTTTATCTCTTGTCCCTCAGTTGCTCAGCCTAGAAACAATGTGCAAATTAATATTATCACAAAAAAAGAAACAATCCTGCACATTACAGAGGTGACATAAGGACCAATGGGAGTCCATGAAAAGTCTATGAAAATGTAATATAAATAATTGATCTCCTCTCAGCCACCTATAAGTCACAGTAGTATTACTTAGGTGTAGTCTGATCACATCAGATCTCAGATTTTATGCACAACTGGGCCCAGACGGTGTTAGAATAGAAGACTTCCCAGAAAAATCCAGTTGATGCAGTCAGTAGTGTTGATTGGCCAATAGGTGGCACTCTTCTGTGGTTTCAAAACCAATGCCCCAGTATGATATCCAAGTACACTGTACTGTAGGAGGCGCCATCATTATGATGAAACATTAAACCGAGGTCCTGATCATTAAAGATCCCATGGCACTATTTGTGAGAGAATGGGTGTTAAACACAGTGCCTTGCTTCTGCTCAGGGTTTGTATAATCGGCCCTTCTTAAAATGTATTGCATTGACAAAACAATTTCTCACCTCTCCACCTGAGAAATGGACCTGCTTGCATAATGGTTACTTTGCTTCACCCAGTGGTGGATAAAGTGTGTCCCCCTACTATATATACAGTAAAATACTTTAAAATCAATTTGTATAAAAAATACTTTAAAATGCAAGGAATAATTATTACAGGATGTGTGCAGTGGAGTTTTATATAGCTCTTGAGACATTATGATGACAGTAAATCAATACTCTGTTAAGCTACAAGAGCTATAAAATTTATATTACGTTATAACAAGGAAACACATTTCAGAATACCATAACCAAAAAATAACATTAAATGTTTTGCCCTTTGTAGGTCTGTACAGCATCATACAGTTCTGTGTTATCTTACTTTTAGCTGTGCACAAGTTATCTCTTCAGATGTCTTTCAAAGACATTTGAAAAATAAAAGAAATGTGACTGTATAATGATTATGTGAACAATAACACCTGAGGGAACAACAGTGAATTGCAGCCTCTTGGAGGTTTGATGAGGACCTGGACTGGCTGACTTCCTGCCTGCGTCCTTCTGGAAGCAGGACAAAATGCCTCACCTCTGATGCTCTCCACACAGCATCATGCTGTCATCTTTGGGGTTATTTATTTTCTATGGTCTGTTGTTATATTTTTCCTTCCTTATTGACAATAGTGCTGCATTCAGCAAAAAAAAAAAGCATGCTGCTCACTTCGACTCTAAATGATCTGTGCTGATTGGCTACAGGTGATGTCATCACATACTGTATGCAATAGTCAATAACCTATTAGAGCTATAGATTTTACAGTCAGCTGGGGAAAATGCACTTTTGCTGCCAAAGCTAATTTTTATTACAGTAATTCACTGAGCAGTGCAATTAATAGACAGAAACATTTGTCTTGAAGTTAATGTAATTTCAGATTCCAATGTGACAGATTGTAAATGTGCATCAGGAATGTGTGGTGTCTCTCATTTGTTTTGCTCCAACTCCTTTTTTGTTAGTGTTATGTATTTCTGTCAGTATGAAAATGATCCTTCTCTGACTCACAATGCATTCATGATTTTCCTCCCTTTTCATGCCCATTTGAAATTGGCTTATGAAGAATAATTCTGGCAGCCTCTGTAAACCGTTGTTTATAATAAACTTATAACTTATTGCTTAGCAACAAGTCTAGAAGGTGTTCTGTGAAGTACATGTATATGTACTGTATATGCATATTTGCGTAGAGTACTTAGTTTGTTGGTCTGCTTAAACAATAGTCTTCTGCGAACTATTTAAATTTAGTATTCATACAAATGTGACCTTAGGGAATGTAATGACATTGACAAGGACAGCACAGAACAGGAGCTCTGTATTGGCTCAATGTGGCCACCTTCTGTGTTCATGTTGTTTTGCATGCAGACAAGGACATGGAAGCTAATTGCATGAAGCTGTTCAGTGCCTAGTATCAAAGTTCATAAGGATGTGTTCCATATACAGTAGTTCTGTTTGTACAAATTTTACAACACAGCCAAATCAAATATTATTATAAGTACTTTATACAAAGCATTTTGTAAAAATGCATGCACACAATTAAAAAAAAATATATATATACTGAACAGAGCCTGTTCCCTTTATGTAGCATATTGAACAAGTCCATTTTCATCAACAAAAGAAAAACAAATTGGTGTCATTTTCAAAAAGGGTTCTCTTCAGTTACATGACATGGACTGAGGTCTAATTCCAAATGCCCATCTTCTTGTAACATGATTAGGGTAAATTAAAAATTGTACCTCTACATTTATACATCTTCTCCACCCAGCAGAGCCAAGTGGCTCCCTGTTGCTAATCCCGTTCTATTTGGTGGTGATGAGAGAAGCTGATGAATCACATTTCTGACGCCAAGGAGTCCAATATTTTCTCTCTCTCTTCACGTTTGTCATGAAGTCGGTGCTGTT